ATTAAATTTATATATAGATTAACTTGGCTTTAAAAATGCATGATGCATGTTAAAAATTAGGCATTACACATGGAGTTGAAAAAATACGAAAGGATAGATGAAGTGAATTTAGGTGGTTAACGACTATTGAAGAGTAGCTTTCACATTAACAAAAGCCAATCAAAACTCATTTTGTATAGTGTATAATGGGAATTTGATAGGAACAAGTGAAATTTTGCATATATTATCAACACCTTGCATAGTGGGGTGGAAATGCAAGTATCAGTCAAATGAAAGCTAGAATGGTGGTGTCAGTGAAATTTTTGCTTCAAAACATTGGCCTGTAGAAATATTAATGGTTAAGTTTGTCTAAACCTAAAACAATTTTTCTTGTTTCAGGCTTTCCCACAAGGTACTCCACTAGGGTCTTACATGTCCAAGGCAATCCTGAGAGTAAGTGAAAATAAAACCTTGATGGATGTAGAGAGCGAAAGGAATTTCCTGTCAGGGTCCAGAGACCAAGATCTCCTGTCTGAAAAACCTTGGGCTCGTGGGATGATGTTAGAGGTGCATGGAGATTATGAAAGTCTTCCCATAAGCTTTTGGCATTACAAACATCCAGTGATGCACCTAACATTAACATGCCATAGATTTATAATGTTTTGTTGGGGCATATCCATCCCCCTTTCATTCTTTACAGATTTGCTCAGATTAATTCTGTTCTTTGCTCCATCCCTGGTAGCTGAAAATGATTCTTGATAGACATACAGTATTAATATCAGCTTTTATGTTGCCTAATTTGTTACATAGCACCCTATTGGTTACTGAATATTCCTGCACCACATGTTTTATGCCCCATGTAACCCATTAGGCCATTACTACTGTCTTCCTGTTGTAGCTATTGTCACCTCAAATATTGTACAAGGTCACCAAAAAGTTTAGGTTTGTTTTTTAAATAGTTTCTAAAAATATTAGTTTGCTGATTAATTTTAATTTATTAATTAATAAATATCAACTATCTTATTAATTGTTAATTATAATTATTAATTAAATTAAACAAAATTAATATTACTAAAGATAATATTTTACAATTTTAGTGGTCATAATACTATTGATGGTGGTCATAACCCTTCCCTTGTTTTCCTTTTCTTTTGCTTTTCGAGTATAGCTCGTGTAACTATTAGTTAAGAATTCTAACATTCCCGAAGTCAAATGGTACAGGATTTTTGCTTATTTCTTACTTCGCAAGCAATAAAGACAAAGTAATCACCTCATCCACATGGTTTGACGGCAATATCAAAATTAAATAGGTCAGTGAGTTGTTGGTTTAATAAGTTTTTTCCTTACCTGTCTTATGTATTAAGAATTTAAATAATTTTTTTATATGAATATCTTTTTTTATGTATTTTTTTAAAAATCATTTCTTTTAAATAGTTTTAAAAACTTAGTTGATATAAAAAAAAATAACAATTTACTATTTACACGTGATTATATTTTTTCAAGTTCAAATACCGCTTGACCTAAGAAAATCAGTAACTTAATTATTACACATCATTAGGCAAATAAAACATTATCATAAAAAGAATTTGTAGATACCAAAAAAGTATTACAAATGAATTTGAG